CCATTGATAAAACCGTATGTGTTTCTCACATTCAGTCACTTGACAGCGCCAATGATTTTGGTAGTGAGAACTTTCTTTGCCAGGTTTTTAGGAGTTGTGGCTGCTGAGGAAGCAGAGGCACTCGACAGAAGGCATTTCTACAGGTGTTTATTCCCTGGATGATAGCTATGGGAAAGGTGGGCTAAAAGCAGGGACAAGGGCTCTGTGGTAGCCACTAGGTCTCACGCTACAGTCTCTAGCTTGTTAAAGACTTAACTAGGCAAGGGGACTATTGCTGTAGTGGAGTCAGTTCAGGTTAATTAGACAGAAAATGGATCACCTTACTTCAGCATCAGTGGTGGAGGAAAGGGTGGGGGTTGCAGTGTTTGGATTTGGATTTGGTAGAAAAAAGGGCCATGGGGAATAACGGAAGATAGATTAAGGACGCAGGTGAAATGATCACTCTCATCATATTCGCTACGTAATTACTGTACTCCATTCTGTGGTTAGCCATGAGGAGAGATTATGGTTGAGGGACCGATACCATCTCTACCACTGGCAAGAAAGACAGAGCTAGAATTAGCAGAAAGAGTCAAAGATTGAACTGTCTGGGTTCCTGTCAATCAGTGAAATTGAAATTAAACCAGATGGTATACTTAGATCCTAGTGCCGATCCTAGAAACAAACAATATCAGATAATAGATTCAGAGATGGTATACTGTAGAGTCCAATTCCAAATGCAGGGAAGGGGACTGCTCTTAAGTAAAAGCCCCAAAGATCTGCATGTGCACATTTCAGTTTGCAAACCATCGACTCCCCTGGCCTCTGTTCATCTCTCTCCTATCCACTCTCCAATCTACCTTACAAAACTCAGTGTCAAAATGCAATCCCAGGTTGTTGTTATTCAGTTGTTTCAATCATATCTGACTCTTCATAATCCCATTTGGGGTTTTCTTGGCAAAGATACTGGAGTGGTTTGCCATTTTTTTCTCTGGCTCATTTTACAGATGAGGAAACTGAGGATTAAGTGACTTGCCCAGGTTCACACAGCTAATAGGTGTCTGAGCCTGGATTTGAACTCAGGTGTTCCTGACTCCAGGTCTGATGCTTCATATACTGCCCACAATCTCAGGTATAATTCATCAATTTTACAATTGACAAAGAACAATGGAATCTTTCTTTGGAGAGATTAAGGTTGGGTCCTCTTTTTTGGGGCGGTAGGGGCCAATTGGGAAAAGAGAAGACCAACCTGTAGAGACACTGTAAAACAAGGAACTTTGTGTGTAGAACCTTTCATCTGTAGCCTTACAGCAGGCAAGGGATAGAATAGCACTGAGAGAATGGTCAAAGTGTGGCCTCCCGCCATGCCCATCAATGCCAGTCTCGAACCCTGGGCAGTCTTCACAACCAGCTTCCTTTGCTTCTGCTTTCAGAACACCTAGGACTGCCAGAGAGAGGCGCGAAGCTTGGCACACCTGACTCAGGACAAACTCCACAGGGCATTTGCTGCTGCCTGACATTCCCTCCCTCCATCTCTCACTGACTGTCTAGAATTCTGTTCATGGGGGCTGTTCCAAATCTCTCTGTTCTTCTTGAGTCCACAACCTTCCCTTTTCCTTCAGGCTTGTCAGATAATTTTGGCCTCCTGTTTTTTTCAGTAGTTCTTAGGATTTGGAGCTGGAAGGTCAAGTCATTATTTTACAGATGAGGAGTTCGAGGGTCAGAAAGGTAAAGTGATTTGCCCAAAGTTACATAGGTGGGAAGCAAGACAGCAAAGTGCTGAGCCTAGGTTTTCTCATGCCGTATTGAGTATTCTTTTCATGAGGCTGTATGATTTTTGATTAGAGGTTATCTTGCTTCTGGTCTTAACTCTCCATCTTTTCAACTAAATATATTTCTGTCTTTCTCTTTCCATCCTTTTCTCCAGTTTTAGATGAAGAGTTTCCTTTTCTCCTGAAGAGAAGTCCACCTGCAAACTCTCAAATCTGCCCCTTCCCATTGGCTGATGTATCTGGTGCCCACAACTGAGCCTCTCTCCCCGACCCCTCTCTCTCTCTCTCTCTCTCTCTCTCTCTCTCTCTCTCTCTCCAGCCTCTTTAACCTTTGCCTCCCTACTGATTTTGCCTTTCAATCTTCAAACATGAAAAGAAAAAAAAGATAAATAAATGAAAAAAAAATTTAATAAGCACTTACTGTGTGCAAAGCACCTTGCTAAACATTGAGTATACAAATAGAAAAGTAAGATAGCCCCTCCTTTTAAGGAATTCACATTCTAATTGAGGACACACACACACACATACATATATATATATATATGTAGTATGTATGTATATATAATAGAGGCGGTTTCAGTTGCAAGTCAAATGGCAGGGCCCAGTGGTCCTTAGAACGTAGCAACAACTCATGTTATAATATGCCTCCTTTTGTGTCAATTCCATTAATAAGAAGGAAAGAAGAAGGAAGGGGAAAGGAGAGAATAGAAGGCAAAGAAGGGGACACAAAAGGAGGTCGAAGAAGGAAAGAAGGAACTGAAAGAAAAGAAGAGGGGATGAGAAAAGAAAAAGGATGAAAAAAAAGGGAAGAAGGGAAGGGAGAAAGAAGAAGGAGGCAAGAAAGGGAAGAGGAAGAAATCCAAAAAGAAAAGAGAAAAGAGTGGGTGAGGAGGCAAGTGATGTGCAGGGACTTGTTATAACAGTTTGCACCAACTGACAAACGGCAGAATCTAATTAAAGCCAGGGAAGGAAGAAACAAAGCTGAGCTTCTCTTTCTCTCTCTCTCTCTCTCTCTCTCTCTCTCTCTCTGTCTCTCTCTCTCTCACTCTCTCTCTCTCTCTGTATATATCTCTCTACTCTGTCTCTGCCTCTGTCTCTCATTCTCTTTGTCTTTGTCTCTGTTTTAATCTGTCTCTCTCTGTCTCTCTTCCTCTCTCTGTCTCTTTCTCTGTGTCTCTGTCTCTCTCTCTCTCTGTGTCTCTAATTCTCTCTGTCTTTGTTCTGTCTCTCTGTTTTTCCCTGTCTCACTCTCTGTCTCTGTCCCTCTCTTTCTTTCTCTCTCTGTCTCTGTCTCTCTTACCTCCAATCCAAGCACTAGGACTCAGGAAGGCAGAAGTAGATTCCACTTCCAGGGACAAATCTTTGTGGATATTGCTTCATCCAATATGCCCCCCTCTTCATCTTCCCCAACATACTCATGCATGCACACACACACAGAATGACACCTATATACATTGCATGCCTGTTGTTCCCTTGTATTTGATTCCCTTTAGGACAGACTTAGATTACAGAGAGAGTATGCATGCCTTTGTTTTCTGAGATCATCTTTGGGAATCAGGTGGGCCACATGCAAACAGGCAGCCAGGCAGGAAAACAAAGATTAGAACTAATCCCTTTGCTTTACAGATAGTCATCAGCAGAGCGGCCTTAGGTTTTAGGGGAAAAAGATGCAAAGTTAGCTTCCGTGATATCCCCTCTGCATCTGCCCTGGGTGTATCCATTTAGAAAACATTATCTTTTTATGTTTTATCCTGATAGGGAGCGGCTTGGATTTGCATTCTCACTCAGGGAAACAGCCACAGCCCATCTCTCTCAACTCAGACGTTTCAAAAAATTAAAAATCAACTTAATTAAATAGCTTTAATTCCTTTTTTTTTTCCTGGGTAACAATCACACATTAATTAATACTCCATTAAGTTGAATTCCTGGGGGCAGTCAGGGATGTTTATGCCTAATGAGTTCATCTGTCATTAGTGTTATTGTAAAAGGCGGCAAACAGTGGCTGTAGCTTTCAAAGTTTCCTGTTAATCTGGAATGAAGGGCAATGCCAGATTTGCAGTTTTCTTTGCCTCCCTGGCGGGCCACTCCAGCCAAGAACATAACCCAAACCATGGTCACTTTCCAAGGGGGGGGGGTTTCTCCCTCTCAACTCATGCTGACAGCTCTAGCACTTTACAGCTGAATGTGACTTTGGGCAAGGGTCTTTCTCTCCCTGGAACTCATATTCCTCACCTGTAGAATGAGGTGATTGAACTTGGCCTGGATGAGTTCTCTGGTCCCATCAAGATCTAATAATCCATGACTTTTTTAATCCATGCTTTGATCCTATGTTGGTCTCTCCACCCCCACCATACACACACCCCACACCCCCAGCACTTAGCATACTCCTGGCCTCTTCCCCTGACTATCAAGGGATATATAACCTCATTTTAACATCACTCTGAAGAAAACATCATTAGGATAATTAAATCTCCTATTTTACAAAAGAAAAAGAAATACCACAAAATATCCTTCAAGACCAAACATGATAATCTTTGGGGAGCACAGGATAACCAATTGAGAGTTTAAAGGGATGTTAGAAGTCATGCATTTCTAGGATCATAAATGTGGATCCAGAAGTGACCTCAGCACTCATCTAGTCAACACCTTCATTTTACAGATGAGGAAACTGAGGTCTAGAGAGCAAGTGACTTGCTCACAATTGCCCAAGTATTATTAAGTAACTGAAAGGGATTTGAACCCAGACCTTCTAACTTCAAATTCCCTTCTCTTTCCATTGTACCCCTCACTCCATCTTCTGGCCCCTTTTTATTAGCATAGATTATAAAGATTGCACTGTACCCTATTTTCTTGCCTGTATCAGAACAGAGAGTAGACAAAAGAAAAGTAGGAACTGGTTTCTCTGCCTACCATATCTTTTCTCTACGAGGGTCTGCTCTAGTCCAGTGGGTCTCCTCCATCTACTTCCTTCTGAAGAACATTCCACCAGAGCAAAAAACCCATGGATCCTCTAACACCCACTCCCACTGGCCCTGTAACCCTCCCCCAACACACACACACACACACACACACACAC